GAAAACAAAGGGGCAGAAAACACTTTTTAGGATCAGCAAAATGTCTTCAAGGTCGGGCTTTGTTTGCTGAGGATTTAATTTTGCACAGCCTCAGTTTCATCAATAAAATGGGCGCGATGCCATGTTGATTTATGGCCAAAAAATGAAACTGAACTAAATGAGATTATATGAGTAACATCTTAAATAAAATTTTGGCACACAGGTGAAGAAAATGTGAAGACAAATCAGTTTGTGAATTGTATTAAACTTAAAATTTTATTACAGTTTGAATTATGTGTCTACAGCAGTGTTGACATCTATGATCATGGTCAAACCCCACCTCTTCTCCTATTTCACCTCCAGACTAACTCATCATTGCCTCCTCCAACTCATCCCCTAATTTGATCTCAGTTCTGTGCTCCAGTACCCATGGTTCGTTATCAATTGCTTTTGCTTGTTTCCTGTTTCATGACAGAAGAGTGAGACTATCTGTTGCTTGTCCTTTTGCCTCTGACTTATTTCACTCATCATGATACTCTTCAGTTCTATCCAAATTGCAGGGACCAACATGATTTTGATTTTGTTAGTGGCTGCGTAATATTCCATTCTACATAGCACAACTTCTCTATTCATTTAGCTGCTGCTGGATATTTGAGTTGCTTCCATATTCTGACTATTGTACTAAGTACTGTGATGATATAGGTGTGTATCTTTTCTGATTAGTACTTTTGTGTTTCTGGAGTAGATGCCAAGAAATGAAGTCTCTGAGTCATATGGGAATGCTATTTTTAGGGTTTTTTTTGAGAAATCTTTATACTGTTTTGTCATAGAGGCTGACAACATTCCTGCCAGCAGATTTTGGTATTTTGAGGAAAATATGGCAACATGGTGGAAATGTAGATTTTTTTCACTATAAAATGCGGATTTACACTATAAAAGATAAGTGTAGGCTGAAGACATGTTTGGGAGTTACTCATTCAACTACAATTTACTGACAATTCCAATAGAGGAGCTACGGACGGTTAAAAAATGGACAGTATTTCTCAGGAAATGACGATTTAGATGAATTTTGGATCTTAAAGCCCTAGTTCTGGACTGAGAACAGAAGAAAAAAAAGCCAACGATAAGAAAGAGAAACACACACACACACACACACACACCCTAAAATTTGGAAGACAACCGGCCTAGGAAAAAGAAATGATTCCTTTAGAGCTTGATCAAGCAATTAGCGCCATCGCCTTCTTAGCGCAGTAGGCAGCGCGTCAGTCTCATAATCTGAAGGTCCTGAGTTCGAGCCTCAGAGAGGGCAATTGTTTTTGTCTCCTTCCACTGCTGACAACCACCCTGGCTTGGAAACTCGATAATCCCGGGGCCATCGCACTGATTTGTTGCGGGCTGTGTCCTTTTCCACCCTACAGTGTCAGGACGGTGGTCCAAACAATCCGCACCGACACCGAACAGGGTCCCCAGCTGTTACCCGCTCCCTGCCAAAGGCCGTTTTCCGCGGGGTCCTGCAACCTCAGTCCGGCGTCGGCGTCGCCGGGGTGACCCCGGAACTCCCGAGTTCTCAAAAGTTCGGAAGAATCAGGCGGGGCCAAAAACACGCGGAGATCGACTGAGCGTGCGCGTGTGCGCGCGCGTGCGGCGTGCGGGGTGCGGGGTGCGGGGTGCGGGTGGGTGGCATTGGAGAGCGCCTTTCACTCACCTCGCAATCCGCACTCCGAGCCTGCAGTGTCTACACCGCATTCCCCGCCAGTTGTTCGTCTCCTTCGTTCCCGGCAGGTGGGTAACTGCAGGCTCCCGGTGACCTCGCGACCTCACTCACTCCAGTGCAGTGACTGAAAAGGCTTGTTGGGGGAAGTGGGCGGGGCTGTTTTGAATTTTCTGGGTACTTAGAAAACAGCGAAATACTGGGTATTTTGAAACGTGCATTGCGTCTTTCTGCACCCGCTCACCCCACCTCTCCCCCCGTCCTGGAATTGTAGAGGATTTCACGACTCTTGATGGTACTGCCACTATTATCCTCATAAACGCATTTCTCTTGCACATATTTTGGTGTCTGAGAATGAATTTCTGTAAGGGCAATTTGTGATTTCAAAAGACAGCCGTTGGGCCTATGCACAAGATGGTTTGGAAAGAGGATAAAGTATTATAGCTCGAAGGTCAAGAGAAAGGGTTGGGTATTACCTTCAAGGATCTGGCAGAGATATCGACGGACCCAAAGTCGGCAGCTCCCACTCAAGGGTCAAGAGTCAAGAGTCCGGTGCGAGAAGATGTTTATCAGTGCAACCAACCTGGAAAGGTGTTGGACTTGTCCCCAAAACAAATACCTCTCTGGACTTGGGGACTTATTTATAAAAGGACGGTGGAGAAAATAGCAAAAGCAGGAAAGGGTAGTGGGTGGGTGGAGGAGAAGAGACGGTTTTCGTTATTCCTAAAAAGATATTTTGGTTCTTGCCAACACGTTTGTACCAAACTCCAGATGCAATTGAATGTGAACATATGAGCGTGCAGAAGAAGGACGTGGGGCTGGAGCGATAACACAGTGGGAAGGGTGTTTGCCTTGCACGCTGTGACCCGGGTTCAGTCGCTGGCAGCCCATATGGTCCCCCCTCACTGCCAAGAGTAATTCCTGAGTGCAGAGCCAGGAGGAACCCCAGAGAATCACCGACTGTGATCCAAAAAGGAAAAAAAAAAAAAAAAGAAGGACGTGAGAGAGCTGAGCTCCATGCAGATAAGGATGGCTTTGGAGAGCTACTTGTCAGAGTTTTAGCAGGTTTTTAGTACGGACAAACTCAAGGTTAATCATACTAAGTATCTGCTTAGACAGTGAACTGGAGCTGGGTTGGAGGGACCCCTGGTATCTGCACTTCAAGGTTTCTGTTAGACAATCCAGGCTGAGGCATTTGGGAGTTTAATCATTGCTAGAACTGGACACTCAACGAGGCCTTGGAACATGGATGGAAGCAGCTAGAAAGGACTCTGGATTGAGTCTGATGTGATTGAGGATGTGGTCAGATGACTAGGAAAGCAATACTCTTGGATTTGCAAGCTTATTTGTTCCTTCTAGCCTTCTTGCAGGATTATTGCAGAAATCCACTGGGAATAATATTGCTTCTTGTACATATGAAGCCATCTTATTTTTCATGGTGGAATCTAGAACCATTCCTATTTTCTAAAGTTTCAATGGCGATAGAAAAGAAATGGAAGCATAGCTAATAGACAATAAAACAAGCAAAATTACTCAGATGATGGACGAGATTAGTACCAGGAGTTTTGCTCCATGGTTTGGAGGCCAGCCACACACTCTAGGGGAAAAGGGAGCTCAGATAGAGAAAGGAGCACCAAATAAAGGGTGTTGGGAGAATCCTCCCAGGATGGGAGAAGCATGCTGAAAGTAGACTATAGACCAAACACGATTGCCACTCAATGCCTCTTTTGCAAACCACAACACCCAAAAGGAGAGAGAGAACAAAACACTTATTATGAGGTCATTATTTGAAAGAAGGTGCCAATGTACACGGGATGGGGGGATGGGCGGTGGGAGGGATACTGGAACCCGTGGTGGTGGAAAATGGGCACTGGTGGAGGGATGGGTGTTTGATCATTGTACAATTGAAACCCAAGCACAAAAATTTGTAAATCTACAACTGTTCCTCATGGCGTTTCACTAACAAAAATTTTTTAAAAAATGTAAATGATGGAGAATGGGCACTGGTGGAGGGATGGGTGTTTGATCATTGTATAACTGAAACCCAAGCACAAAAACTTGTAAGTCTACAACTATACCTCATGGTGTTTCACTAATAAAAATTAAAAAAAAAAGAAAAGAAAAAAAATTATTCTGATGTTCCCGAAAATAATAGCAGAGAATTGACTGCTGAAAACGATGTGTTCAGTGAATTATACAAAATACTTCCTCTGATTTTCAAAGATGAACGAATCCTCATTTATCTGTTCATGATTCATATTGAAACTGAGGTTCCACAATACTGCAGCAGGTAGTAGGGCACTTGCCTGGCTGCAAATCACCCAGGTTTGAATTTGAGCACCCCACATGGTTCCCTGAGGTCACCAGGAGTAATAATCCCTGAGTGCAGAGCCAGGAGTAAGTTCTGAGCACAGCTGGGTGTGACCTCAAAGCAAACAATTAAGATTCATATAGAAATTGATGGAAAGATATAAGAAAAGCTCAGTATCTGAGTTTAGCCTTAAATAACATAAAATTATATTAGCAAAACGTGGAGAATCATTGGAGTGTGTGTGGTACAGAAGCCCTTTATACTACAATTCCTTTAGACTTCAAATGCTTGAAGATTTACACATAACAAACCAGGAGAAAAGTGGGAAAGAGAAGATAGAGGTTGGAGAAGGCAGCACTTTGGAGCACATCCAACTCAAGTCATGAACAGAAAGCGAGTATTTCTCTTTTTTTCTTTTTTGCTTTCGGGGTCACACCTGGCGATGCTCAGGGGTTACTCCTGGCTCTGCACTCAGGAATTAGTCATGGTGGTGCTCAGGGGACCCTTGGGGGACCGTATGGGATGCTGGGAATCGAACACGGTGGGCTGCGGGCAAGGCAAACGCCCTATCCGCTGTGCCATCACTCCAGCCCCGCGAGTATTTCTTAACACTGAATTCCACCGGGCTGCAAAGACTCACCTCTGCCGCCTTCCCCTCCCCCCCTCCCTGCCTGCCCCCCCCCCCACCTGCATGCCACAGGTGGCCTCTTCTCCTTGAATATGATTGACTTAACGAAATGAATTCGATTCAAAAAAAGAGTTAGAAAACTTTCCACTAGATTCATTTATATATTCCACGACTGGCTTATGTCAATGATGCTTATTCAGATTCAACAACAGGGCAAGTGGCACGTCAGCAGATAAAGATTCCTTCTTTTCCTGTTCCTGAAATTCTTGAATAGACTTTGTACCTAGTATCAGGACACTTCTGGAAAAAAAAACAAAAATTAAATCGATTTATAAAAGCTTTGATCCACTGAAAAAGCTGACACATGAATCCTAAATGCAGCCTCCAAATGAGCAGATCCGTAGGTTCCCAGAGGAATCAGTGCATGGAGTAATTCTGCTGGTCAATGAGTGACATTTGGACACACGGACGGGTCTGGTGAACAGCACGAAGGGACTGAGACTAGCATAACCGATAATTAAAAAAGATTTAACACTTATTATGAGGTCATTATTTGAAAAGAAGGTGCCAATGTACACGGAGGAAATGAAATCTCCCCAATAAAAGAGAAGGAAAAGGGTCATGAGAACGAGGATACTGTGAGCAGCTCTCAACTCCGGGCTGAGGTTTCCTTGCAGCCTGGCCTTCCGAAGGGAAAGGACGCGTTGATGATGTTTATACAGATGGACAGCCATGTACCCACTGCTCCAGCCCATGAGGCTCTGGAAGAAAATGTCCCGCAGAGCCATGAGGGCCACGAAGAGCCATTGCATTACCGGCCCAGTTTCTTGCATGTGGCAATGTCCACTGAGTGGACTGATTCCAGATGTGTTCATGCTATAGGCTGACGTCATCAAGAAGAGCAAGTTGGAGCTTATGAGAAAATTAATGACCCAGATCAGGAGGAGGTAGGGGAGCATTTGCCGTGGGGTTCGCGGTTTGAGCTTTTGCCAGGAGGCGCTCCTGGGACCGATGGTGATGGCCTGGAGCACGGAGAGCAGACAGGTGGTGCAGATGGAAAGGCCTCGTGCCACTCGGACCAGATACAGCACGAGTTTGCACCCAAGATCCCCTAGGAAATCCCTCAGATGAAAAATGGTGGCTAGATTATTGCTTCCTTTGGTGCATATAATGATTATATTTGCAAAAACCAGATGGATGATGAGAAGGTCTATGGGTTTTTTTTCAGGACCCCTCACCAAAATATAGCTATGTCTCACAAAGACAAGGGTGTTCCCCACAATTCCGTATGCAATCAAAGAAAGGAAGAGGATTCCCTGCACAAAGATAACCCAAACCATCTTCTTCATGAAGAGAACTAAGAAAAAAATTAAGAAACAGAAGTGAGTAAAAATAGCACATCTTAAGTTTGTGGGCTTTTTTTGCTGTCAAGTGAATGGAAGAACAGTTTCAATTCTGAAATGTATACATGTACTTGGTTCTGTCACTTGAATGTTCTTGATCTGACTTTTTTGTTTTGTTTTGGGCCACACCTGGCAGTGCTCAGGGGTTACTCCTGGCTCTGCACTCAGGAATCTCTCCTGGTATGTTCGGGGGACCCTGTGGAATGCTGGGGATTGAACCCAGATGGGCTGTGTGCAAGGCAAATGTCTTAGCTGTTGTACTATCACTCTGGCTCTGATAATTCTATAATCTCCTTCAACACATCTTTGCTTCAGCTGACCAAGACATGGACATCACTACAGTTTAACAAATCATACGCACACTCTAGGTCTTCCACCTGGCTTAAGAAGAGGCCCTTCTATATATCCCTTTCAACCAAAAATTATACAACAACGTATTTTTTTTTCCAGACCAGCTCAGCAAAACACAATACCATATTGTCACTTTTCAAGCTCCAATGCTGAGAACCAACTCAGATACCTCCTTCTCTTTTACTTCCCAGAACCAGTGAATGATCTCATGCAGTGGATACTATGGGGGCACACCCAGGTCCTCCTAGTCCTCTATGCAACCACCCTCAGATAGATCAAATATTAGGACAATGAGGAGTTGTACCTTCCCCCAAAGATCTGTCCTTGACAAACTGCGATAGTTTCATTTAGGAGGTGATATGGCTGAATCCTCTCTCCAAGGTGGAGTAGCAAAGACCAGTGGTCTTGCATGGAGGTGGGACTAAGCTGGTTAAAGTTGTATTCCTGAACCCCCCACTTCCTTAACCCCTTCCCTCCCACCCCCCCCCCCCCCGCCCCATTGCCTGTCCTAGTCTCATTCTTCATCTCCCTGAGGTCAATCCCAGTGAATCAGCAGAAGAGTTCCCACCACAGTTAAATGCCCCCGCTCCAATTCCCTGCCCCAGGAAGTTCCTTCATGTTGTGATTTCTTTAAATATGTATGAAATACATGTAAAATATTAAATACCTATTTCATTAGAATTTATAATCTGGTTTTTCTTATGTTGGCAAGGGGAAGAGAGGAGGTCTCCCAAGCATCGCCCAGAGGCCAGTCACCAGGTCAGGGCGCTGTGGTGCCGTGCCCTAGTGTTGGTCAGAGGCCTCAGGGCCACACCGAGTTGTTCAGAGGAGCCTGTGGCAAATACCCCCTCCCTGCCTTTTTTTTTCTTTTTGGGCTTTTTAGGCCACACCCAGCCTGAAGCTCAGGGGTTAGTCCTGACTCTGCACTCAGGAATCATTCCAGGCGGTGCTTGGGGGACCATATGGGGTGCCTGGGCTGAACCTGTATGCAAGGCAAAAGCCCTGCCAGCTGTATTATCTCTCAGGCCCTAAGGCTTACCCCTTTCTCATTCTTATTATTTTGCTTCTTTTTTTTTTTTTTTCATTTTTGGGCCACACCCAGTGTTACACCTGGTTCTGCAGTCAGGACCTTATGGGATGCCCCAGATTGAACCCGACGAGTGCCCTGTGCTGTACCATCGCTCCTGCCCTTATGGGCTTCTCTCTCTGTCTCTGTCTCTGTCTCTGTCTCTCTCTCTCTCTCTCTCTCTCTCTTAACTTTTGTTTGTTTGTTTGTGGGTCACAACCAGCTGTGACAAATACCTTAAGGCTTACCCCCCCCCCTTTTTTTTTCCTTTTTGGGCTTTTTAGGCCACACCCAGCCTGAAGCTCAGAAGTTACTCCTGGCTCTACACTCAGGAATTACTTCTGGCGGTGCTTGGGGGACCATATGGGATACCCACCCTACTGTCACTCGGCCTGGGTTTCTCTTTTTTTTTAAAAAAAAAAAACAAATAAGCAAACAAACAGTACGTAGCAATGATCCCTGATGGCAATCAGTAAACCCTGTGTATTCAAAAAATAAATACGAAGGCTGCCCCGCTTTCTCGCTGCTTGAGGTTGGTGGTCTTGGGCCACTCCCCCCTCCACACCCCCCCAGACCAAGGACATGGGCGGTGAAGGAGGAAACGAGGACCGGGCTGGTTGGTGATCCATTGCAGTTTATTCCCATCTCGTCTCTGTTCTCTCCTGATTCTCCTTCCCCCGATTCTCCTTCATCCCTCCTCTCTGGATCCTGCTCCTTCATTCTGGATTCAGCTTGATTCTCTTCCCCTGCCTGTCTTACAGCCTTAGTTATCTCCCAAATCATGAGGGGGTTGGGGCAGCAATTACACAGAGGTGTCCTCGTACAGTCGATGGATGTAAGGTCCCTCCCTCAGAGGAAGCTTCTTCCAGGACAGACTCTCATTCAGCAAGAAAACCCACCTAAGGGCCAAATACCATCTAGGAGTGCTTTTCTCCTTTCCTTAGTCCAACAACCGTTTAAACATTCATCTTAATTCTACTCCTTAGTAATATTAATCACTTTGTATAGACACAGTAAGAGATACATTAAACTTGTAGGGTGGCTCTCCTGGGGGGCATCTCATATAGATCTCAGACTACATTGCTCAGGCCAGATCAGTCTTTCCTAACCCTAACAGGGTCCTAATCCAGTTGTTACTTTTTTTTTTTTTTTTTTTTTTGCTTTTTGGGTCACACCCGGCGATGCTCAGGGGTTACTCCTGGCTCATGAACTCAGGAATTGCTCCTGGCGGTGCTCGGGGGGGGGGGGGGGGGACCATATGGGATGCTGGGAATCGAACCTGTGTCGGCCATGTTGGCTGCGTGCAAGGCAAACGCCCTACCCACCCGCTGTGCTATCGCTCCAGTCCCCAGTTGTTACTTTTTGGATCATGACAGAATTTGCCCATGACTGTGCTCTTAACTCTTAGTTAAGTATTATGGAGCTTTGGCCTGGCCCATTTTGATGCCAGGATAGCTCACAGCTTACCTTGAATCCATCCAATCCTTCGTCGGGACCCTGATTTTGGGGTGCTAGGAACTAAGGGCAACTGAGGCTTAACTTGAGAGAACAGATGCCCAGGAGTAAATATTATTTGCAGTCAATTAACTCCCAACTTACAAAAGCATAGCATTAACTGTCTTCCTGTGTCTCTACAAAAAGGACATTGCTCTGAAGTAACTATGCAAAGGATATAAGGAGGAGAAAAAAAAGCAATATTTCACTTTATAAGTCACAGGTATTGCTTAGGGGAAAATGTTGATAGACTGGTTGGGGAATCAAAGCACAGAGAAGGAAGTTGCAGATAAACACAGAAGAATGGGAGTGCCTCAGGAGCACTGTGATAAACCTAGGCTCCCTGTGACATGCCAATGTTACCCTACAAGCCCCGAGCACTACCTCCTGTGCTCTCCACCACCCCCCGCACCCGCCTCGAAAAGAGAAGGATTAAGTGTCTCTTCTAGTTTGGGGTGAGTCACACCCAGTGGACACAGCAGTTCAGAGTCCACTCCTGGCAGTGGCGGGTTCCCTGGCTTGGAGCCAGGCCTCCCCTGGGCACAAAGCATACCCTCCAGCCCTCTCTGGGCCCTCTGTGTATTTTCAGATAAGCTTTCAGAAGTTCTCCTTTCTAGCACATGAGAGTCCCGGCAATGCATTGGTCTCTCTGGTCAAGTCGGGTTTCCTTTAGAAAACAGTGGGAAGGGCGGGCATGGTCCTAAGACAGACACAGGGCTGTGGTATAGCCAGGCACACACAGCTGAAGCCACACACGCAGGGCACGTGCACAGTACACAGAACAAACACTCTGAGATCCTCACACCCTCAAGTCCTGTTCCTCTGTCCTCTGTGAAAAGGACACCTTGGGCACAGCACAACCAACACCAGTGCCCGTCAGCGCCCCTGCAGCATGGAGAGCTACAGGCGTGTCTGCCAGGCTGACGGGAGGTAATTGTCCTCTCCCTGCGTCCCGGCACCTTCCTCTCTCACAAGGGACAGACTAGCTCAGACTGCTTTCTCCTGGCCTGGCCCTCATCAGTCCTCTCCAACTCTTTCCGGTCACTCACAGAAGCCCCAAGCCTGGGTAGTCAGGGGGTACTCACGCCGGCTCTGCCCAGCACAGCTCCAAGCAGTCTCCTGCACGGTAGCCCATGCCAGGCTCTGTTTATCCTTTCCCAAAGCCCAGAGCTCAGGTCAAGTCTCCCTGTGGTCGCGATGTCAGTGTCGTAAGTTCTGGGTCCCTTGGGATGGAGGGTTTGTCTGCACCTTGTCCATCCCTGGGGTCCATCTCTCCCCTCTCCCTCATGCTTGGTAATTAGCTGAGTCAAAAATAATCCCGAGCCCAGTGATAGGAAACATGGAGTAATTAATTAAAAGCGGGACTGGGGTGCAGGAAATAGTACAGTTGCCAAACATGGATCCGCTAGTGGTCCAGGTTATCCAGACTTTAATTTCGACTCCCCCACCTCACCCCTTTATCTCCAAAACTCAGGAATAATTTGTAAGAAATATCTCAAAGTCCAATCGTTTCTCAGATTCCTTCCAGACTACATTGTATTTTTATTAGACAAAATATTTGAGTGCTAGAATCATTCTGGTGACCTTTGAGGTGAGGTGCAGTGTCCAGAAACCATGAGAAACGGGCCTTGTAGGGCTCAAGCATCGTCTACTGATCTAGGTCTGGTCACTTGCATTTGAAGCAGTTCATACAGTTCTTGGAGATGTTCACTTATACTTGCATTTCTTTGCACATGTGTATTTTTCAGGTTCAGTGCAACACAATGTTCCTGGCTCAAGAAACTCAAGACCCGTAGCCATGGCCCAGACTTAGCCTGAGATCGATGCGTGTAGCCCTGACCATCAGACTTGTACTGGTGCCTTTGCAGTTTCCACAAGTGGTTCCTTTTCCACTGGTGACAACAGTAAAGTCAGGCAGAGGAGGGAAAACTGATTTTGACATTCTTCACTGCCCATCAGTGCAGATTTGTTTCAGTAATACCTTTGTGATCTCTGCCTTCTCTACTGAGGCCAGTCCAGTCACTGG